TCAGGCGCGGTGGGAGGGGCCGCGGCGAGGTGCGGGGCGGTGGGCAGGGCTCGGCCGGGGTGGGAGGGCCAAGGCGGAGCGGGGGCGGTGGGCAGGGCTCGGGCGGGGTAGAAGGGGCCACGGCGGAGTGGGGGCGGTGGGCAGGGCTCGGGCGGGGTGGGAGGGGCCGCGGCGAGGTCAGGGGCGGGCAGGGCTCCAGCGACCGCCTCACCTGCCAGGTTCTCGTGCACGGCCTTCATTTCCACCTGGGCTCTGGCAAAGGCCTCTTCGATGGCCCGGTTCTTGTCCTCCTCCAGGGACTGCATCTCCTCCAGCATCTGTCCGTGCGCCCGCTCCAGCTCCGCCTCGTACATGGCAATCTGGCGGCCGGGCCATGAGGAAGCTCAGGGCCGTGGAATGTGGTGGGGGAAGGTACAGGGAGGGGAGCCCCGCCCCTCACCAACACCACACCCCCCTCCTGCACAAGCACACGCGGTAGCAGGGTCAACCGGCTTCTCTCTCCCGGGCCCACGGCTGCGAACTCCATGTAGCTGCCACCACCGTCCCACCTCTCCACCCCTCACCCCCTGCCTTGGGCCCCAGCCCCGCCTGGGCCAGGCCCTGGGGGAGTCAGGAGAACCCGAGCCCCGTGGTGTTGATGGAGCACACCGGGCCTGAACCTCTGCTGGTCGCGTCCCAGAGGGCCCACCGTGGGCGCTGGGAGCAGAGCGCATTATAGATGAGGAAACAGAGACAAATCTTGCCCTTGGTCACAGGGTCAGGAGGGAGAGAAGGCACTGGCCCGTCCCGGCATGCTTAGCCACTGCGCCGTCCCAGCCCCCACCCACCTGTGCACGGAGCTGCGTGGTCAGCTGGTGCGAGCTCTGCAGCTGCTGCTCCATCTCCTTCAGCACCTGCCGCTGCATGGCCACCTGCTCCTGCAGGTGCTGGTTCCGGGCCTGGGACTCGCTGAGCGCCTGCCTGGTCTTGGGCGACTCCACCTCCACCGTCTTGATGACATACTGCAAGGCGAAGGCAGGCGTGTGGGGCCCTGGGAGGTGGCCACGGGAGGGGAGCCTCGAGGGGCCCCATCAAGAGCCCCGGGGGAAAAAAAGCGAGAGCAGCCTGGGGTCCTGGCTTTCCAGAACGCACTGGAATCTTCTCATTTTAATGAGAGCCTGCTACGAGCCCAGCTGTGACTCCCACCTGGGCACGGAACAGAGGAGAAGGGCAGAACCCAGAGGGCACACGCGGGCACCCAGAGCACTGGGTGTGGACACTTTCTCCGGCCCTGGCCAGCCGCAGAAAGGGGCAAGGCCCAGTGCAGCACGGGACCGAGTCCATTAAATACCCACACCTGTTTTATCCCCACGACGCACCCCTCTCTCGAGGCTGCCCTGCCCTGGGCCCAGGCGCAGGTGAGGCTCACCTTGACAGGCGGGGACTGGGCCCGCAGGCTGGCGATGGTCTCGTGGCTGTCGCGCAGGCGCCGGCTGAGCCGCTCCTCCTCCTGCGCCTTCTCGGCCAGGCAGTCCTTGAGGCGCAGCTCCACCTCGGCCAGCCGGTCCGTCTTCTGCTGCACCTCCAGGTTCAGCTCGGACAGCACGCCTTTGTTCTCCGCCACTTCCAGCTGCAGCTGGGACAGCTTGTCCCGGAGCTGGGCGCTCTCCTGCAGGGGCGCGGGCCGCCGTGAGGGGCTGCGTTCGCATTGAGGAGGAGCTGGACCCTCCGGGACCCACCGGGGCCGGGGTGTGGGGCCGGCTTACCTGGCTGTGTTCGCAGCCCGGGCAGGGCGCTGCCGCCGCCGCCACGGCCGGCTGTGCCCGCAGCCCCTGCAGCTCGGCCTCACAGCGCCGCAGCTCCTGCCTCAGCCGCTCATTCTCCACCGTCAGCCGGTCCCGCAGCTTCTCCAAGTCGGTGCCTCCCTGCGGAGGGCCGGGGCCCAGGGGAGGCATGTGGAGGGGGCAGAGGGGCGGACAAACAGCAGGCAAGGGCCCGAGGAGGAGGAAAGAAAAAGGAGAAATGTGAGAGAGCAGGACATGGAGAGAAACCCAGAGACAGGCGGCAGAGAGGAAGAGAGGCGGCCAGGAGGGGCCTCCTGCCCCACCCCCCACCTGGCCTAGTTTCCTGAGTGTGAAAGTGCCGAGAAGTCATATTTATGCACAGGGTTCACACTCCTATTTTATGTCAGCCAGCGATCCGCTCCCCTCCCTGCGGGGACCACATGACCCCCGAGGACTAGCAGCTGAGCCCGCGTTCCCGATGCGTTTTTGATGGGGAAAGGATGGTGCAGCTCCCCGCCCCCAGGGGGCGCCCCGGAGCCTCACCAGCTCTGATCGAAGTCGGCTCACTTCCTGGGCCTGGCTGATGAGCTTCTCCTTCAGGTTTTCCACCTGCAGGGCAAAGCCAGGGTCACAGGGCCTTGGTCCTCCCCTCCAGCCCACAGCCTGGGGCCTCCCTGCGTTCAAGCCTCGGGCACCTCCGGCTGCCCGCTGTGCACCGAGCCAACCCTAGCTCTTCGGGACTCGGGCCCCCTCCCAGGTCCTTTGCCTAGGCAATTGTGTATTTTCTTTCTTAGCAAGGTCGATCTATCCTGGCCCAGCCCCGGGAATCTTAGACTCTGAGTGGTTTCCTGTAGGAGAGAGGACCTGGCTCATCCAGGGCCTGGAGGAGGGGAGGACCCCCCCCCCCCCCACACACACACCCCTGTCCCTACGGAGCACTGATCCCGGGCAGCGCCCTCGTCCCTGGAGCTGTCCCCTTCCCCAAGGGCCCTGACTCTGGCCTCACATCAGCCCGTCCCCAGGAGCCTCTCCTCGGGAAATAACCCAGACACACAAAGGCTCTGGCACCAGCCTTTCGGGGCTTTTGTTCCAGAACATTCTGTGACGTCCATACTTCCCCTTGGAAAATGTGCAGTGAGTGGCAGGACCGCTGTGTAATGGCTCAGGACGTGTACACCAGCTGGCGTGGAGGCACTGGGCTCTCACGGCCACCGGGGCCATTGTTTGAATACAATTTGTCCCCCAGAACTCCGCGAGGCGGACGCTAACGGCAGTGAGAGGCGTGAGCTTGCTCTGACTGCGGTGTGCAGAGGCAGGGTCTTTGGAAAGCGATGAAACTGGATCAGGACACTGGGGCAGGGCCTCGAGGTTGAATCCTAGTGGCTTTATGGGCGGGGCGGGGCAGACCTCCCACCTATAGACGGCCTCACAGGCTCCCTGTCTCTCGCCATGCGACACTCTGTGCTCTGTCAGCAAGAAGCAAACTAAACCTTTCTCCTGGGGCCAGCACTCAGCGCAGTGGGTTAAGACGCTGTCTGTGGGTCTCACAAGCCCCGGCCCCAGCTGTTGCGGCCATTTGGGAGTGGGCCAGCGGATGGAGGACATCTCTCTCTCTCTCTCCTTCCCTCTCTCTCTCTCTCTGATTCTAGCTCTGCCTCTCTGCAACTCTGCCTTTCAAATAAATCAATCAATCAAAAAAAAAAAAAAAAAAGATGCTGCCTGCAGCGCCATCATGGGCACCAGTTCGAGTCCTGGCTGATCGACTTCCAACCCAATTTCCTGCACCTGGGAAAGAAGCGGAACAGGGTCTATGTGCTTGGGCCCCTGCACCCATGTGGGAGACCAGATGGTGATCCAAGGTTCCTGGGTTCAGACTGTTTGGGGAATGAACCAACAGATGGGAGATGTCTTTCTCTGTTTCTATGTAATTCTGCTTTTTTAAATGTTTTTTTATTTAATGAGCATAAATTTCCAAAGTACAGCTTATGAACCACAATAGCCTCCTCCCCCCCGTATCTTCCCTCCCACCCACAATGTAATTCTGCTTTTCAAATAAATACAATTTCCAATATCAACCTCTTCTCTCCTCAAGTTAGCCAGCCCTAAATGCTTTGCTATAGTAATGAGCAGCTGGCAAATGCAACAGGTGGCGCCGGCAAGGGGCTCTATAGGACTAGATGCCGAGACCCACTAGGGGGCGCCACAACGTGTGCCAGACTAACCTGTGCAGAGCAGCCTGACACTTGATTTCAGGGTGTGGGTGTGCATGTGAAAATCTCCCTGCTTAATGTGGCCGTGACGCCATCCAATGGCAGTGTGTGGGCCACTCTCGGCTGTGGGGTCAGTGTCTCTGGGGGTGGGAGAGGGCAGCGGGACCACAGGGGTCGGGCCCCTGCTTCTCTGAGCTGGCGGGAGGGAGATGACCCATGGCACCTGTTCCTACCTCAGTGAGAAAGCGAGCCCGGGGGCCAGAGTTTGACAGACGCCGTGTGGGACCCTGCACCTGTGTCAGTGTCCCGGCTCAGCGTCCCACCCAGCTCCCTGCTGATGTGCACCCTCAGAGGCAGCACGTGGGTCCCCGCCACCCGCATGAGAGACCTGCATTGAGTTTCTGGCTCCTGACTTTGGCCCCAGCTGTTGTGGGCACCTGGGGAGTAAACCAGCAGAAAGATCTTTCTCTGTCTCCCAGCCTTTCACACACAATGAAAACAAATGATAAGGGGCCAGCGCCATGGCGCAGTGGGTTAATCCTCTGCCTGTGGCGCCGGCATCCTTCCTATATGGGTGTCAGTTCTAGTCCTGGCTGCTGCTCTTCCAGTCCAGCTCTCTGCTGTGGCCCGGGAGTGCAGTGGAGGATGGCCCAAGTGCTTGGGCCCCTGCACCCACGTGAGAGACCCGGAGGAGGCTCCTGGCTCCTGGCTTTGGATTGGCACAGCTCCAGCCATTGTGGCCACATGGAGAGTGAGCCAACAGAGGGAAGACCTTTCTCTCTGTCTCTCCATCTCACTGTCTGTAGTTCTACCTCTCAAATAAATAAAATCTTAAAAAAAAAAAGATAGCCCGGCACCATGGCTCACTAGGTTAATCCTCCGCCTGCGGCGCTGGCACCCCAAGTTCTAGACCCGGTTGGGGCACTGGATTCTGTCCCAGTTGCCCCTCTTCCAGTCCAGCTCTCTGCTGTGGCCCGGGAGTGCAGTGGAGGATGGCCCAGGTCCTTGGGCCCTGCACCTGCCTTGGAGACCAGGAGGAAGCACCTGGCTCCTGGCTTCGGATCGGCGTAGCGCGCCGGCCACAGTGGCCATTTGGGGGGTGAACCAACAGGAGGAAGACCTTTCTCTCTGTCTCTCTCTCACTGTCTAACTCTGCCTGTCAAAAAAAAAAATGATAAATGAAAATTTCTCATTAAAAAAAAAAAAAAAGTGGCCCCAGCACGGCTCACTTGGGGTTTAGTTGCAGGGGAGGATTGCGGGGGTGGGGGGTGGGGGGGTAGTTCCAAGACACAAGATTCCGCTGAGGGGCTGGGAGGCACAACGCCTCCTGGTGGACAAGCAGGGGACCTAAAGGCTGGGCCCACATAGGCTGCGTCTGTCGCCACCTCAACTGTCCATTCCTGATTGGACACAGTGTCACTGACCAGCAGAGAGCAAAGCTACTTCCGCTTCTCTGCTTGCGACCCATAAGCCCTCTTCCTGGCGCCCCCTAGCGTCCAACTGGGAATACACTGGATACTCACCATCGGGGAGTAGTTAGCTAAGTTAAGCGATGTATGAGAATCTGCTTCTTGGGCTGTTATGCAGTCATTACAACTATGTTCACCAGGAGTTCTCAGTGGCATGGGGAAAGGCTCATCGACACACCACGTCAAAGAACAACCTGGAAAAAACTGCCTGTGTGGTACAGAGGCAGAGGAGCTCTGGGTTGTAGAATTACGGCTGGCAAATTCTTTGTTCTTTTCAGAATTTCTAAGTCTCAGAGCATATACGTTCCTTGGGGCTGGCGTTCCTTGGGGTAGCAGGTTGGGCCACCACTTGTGGTGTGGGCATCCCGTATGGGAGCTCTGGTTCAAGTCCCGGCAGGGCCACTTCCGATCCAGCTAGTGTGCCTGGGAAGGCAGCAGAGGGTGGCTCAGGTGCTTAGGCCCCTGCCACCCACATGCCAGGCTCCTGGCTTCAGCTTAGTGCAGCCCCAGCCACTGTGGCCATTTGGGGAGTAAACTAGTGGATGGAAGTCCTCTCTGTTTCTCTCTCCCCCCACCCCCCACCCCCCACCCATCACTACGCCTTTCAAATAAGTGAATCTCTAAAATAAAAACTACAAGCCCATATACATAAGAAAAGATGTATGTGTTCCTCTTGCACACTGACTGAAGTAAGTGGGTGCACTTCCTCTGACAGGGTCAGGAGCCCCCAAGCCCACTCCTCCCCCGAGAGGTGGCTGCCTCGGCTGCACCAGCCACGCTCCGACTGCAGCTCTCTGCAGCGCCCAGCACTGCCCAGTATCAGATGCCAGGGCAGTGAAAGTGGGGCTTCCCAGTGCCACTGCCGGCCGCCACCTGCCTGCTCCCTCCTTGCGTCACAGATAGACCCTGGGTGCTCCTGGGCCCTGGCTGGGCTCTCCCAGGGACACCCGACAGGAAGCGGCTGGAACAGCACAGGTTTAGGGGAGAGCGGTAAAAGACCCCAGGACAGAGATGCGGGATGCTAAGCCATCCCCGGGCTTGTCCCGGGAGGCGAGCGGCAGAGCAGGGGCACCCACAGGCGGCCTGGCCCAGGAGAAGGATCCTTGACTTCATCAATGCGGTCTGCTTCCGGAGGCCCGGGGAGCCCTGAAGGTGCTCCAACACCCACTGTGGGCGTCAGCCTGAGGTGGGAGGGGCCAGAACCCGGTGGGTGCTCACTGACTGCTTGGTGGGACAGCCGTTCCGGAGCCCAGGAGCAGGACTGGGGCGTGCAGCCTGTGGACGCTGCCAGCGCAGCTATGCCCCAGGGCCCTGGAGGGGCCGAGCCGGCTGGTGCCCCCACCCAAGCCCACCCTCCTCCACAGCCTGAAAAAGCCAGTCGTGGGATGGGGCTTCAGCCCTGCCGGGCTCAGCGGGGAGCGGGGGTGCGGGGAGAGGGAGTGCTGTCGGCGTGGGGCAGAGCCAACTCAGCAGAGGGCGTGGCGGGCGCTCGCTCTGTGTGTTCTCAGCCGTCTGCCCGGGGCGGGCAGCCTCTTATCATGGCAAATAACCCGCTGATTAAGGCTCTACCACCCACAGAGCCTGGCGGCAGGGTCCTCAGCCGTCTTCCCAGGAAAGACGGGCTCCCTGCCCACCACCCCCGACCCCCCTCTGTGGAGGAGCTGCTGAGCCCAGAAGGCCTCAGGAGCACCCCCTGGGAGCCACCCCGCCCCGTCCCCCCAACACTCCCGCTCTCAGCAGGCCTGCTCCTGGCTGTGTCCACACCACCTCCTCGGCCAAGTCTTCACCGCACCGAGAGCAGGGATCTTGAGCCAGGCTGCCTGGGGTTCCCCTGCAGTGACCTTGAACAAGCCCCTTACCTCTCAGTGCCTTTTGGTTTCCTCATCTACCTTATTGTGAGGACTGAATGAGATGACACGGGTGATGTACT